AAAAAAAAAAAAAAAAAAAAAAAAAAATCTAGTTCAGCACCAGATTTGGTGCCTACTTCATTTACTGCTTGTGCACAGGCTCTGCAGACTCTCAAAGCCCTGGGAGGAAGGTGGTTCCCTGAGGGCCTGTGACGAGGAGGTCCCCCGTCCCCTTTTTAACGTATTTGGTACAGGGTCTCACTACCCAGCTTGGACTTGTGGTGGTCCTCCTGTTTTCAACCTCTCCAGTACTGGGAGAAGTGCACACTACCACGCCTGAACTTGGTGGCTGGCCCAGCACACCCAGGGGCGAGGCCAGCACAACATGTGCTACTGGAGATCAGACTGGCTTCCTGTACTTGTCTAAGCAGGTGCTTAGTCCACTGAGTTACCTTTTTTTATTTGGGACAGAGTCTCACTAAGCAGCTCAGACTCATAGTGATCCTCTTGTCTCAGCCTTCTCAGTGCTGGAAATAAAGGCATGAGCACCACACCTGGTTTTGGTGGCTGGCATAGCATGTAGTACCAGGGAATTGAACCTATGCCTATGCACTTGCCAGGCAGGCTCTTAGACGGCTGAGCTATCATCCCAGCCCCCCACTGAGTTATCTTGCTGGTCCTAAGTTTTTCCCTTTTTATCTGGCCTAGAGTATATCAGTCTAAGGCTTTGCTGTGCCAAGAAATTTAGTAAATTCTGATAGGTAGGTTCACTTATTGGAGCGTTTGTGTGAGCAGAATTCAGAATGCACAGTATTCATTTGCACATGTCCCAGTCATGATCTCCCTTGCTTGCGGAAGGACCACAGGTCCCCAGGACTTGTAGGTGGGACAGCAGCTTTGTCTTGCAGCAGTTATGAGACAGGGTTCTTGTTTCAGCCACCCCCTCATCCCCCTCACCTGGTCCCCGGTTGCTTGATTGCAGGTTTTTTCCCAACTAAAGTGTCACAGCACCTCACTTTCATACAGCCTTGGTACCCCATTTCCCTGTGTGTTTCGGTCAGTGGGTGACAAGATGGTATATACCAAGCTTAGGGCAGATGAAGAAGAGTTCAGATTATTTGCCCAAAATGGAGTAGGCTCATTTTAGGAATAACAGGTGTCGACTGCTTTATTTCCCAGGAAAGCAGGAAGACCTCAGCCTTACTGCCCATAATTCCCTCACCTCCAGAAATAGAGTACTGCTGCTGGGGTCTGTGCTGACTGGTGCTGTGCTATTCATAGGCCCTTTTGTAGCTCAGTATTCCACGCTCAGATGTTCCTGGCTTGTTTCCTTGTTTCTGTTTTTATTGTTATTATATGTATGTATGTATGCATGCATGCATTTATTTATATTGATAAGTAGGGATTGAACCCAGGGCCTTCTCACTGAGCTGCATCCTAAGCTCTTTTTAATTTTTTTTTTACTGTGAAACAAGGTCTTACTGAGTTGTCCAAACTTGGCTTGAACATGTGATCCTCTGCCTTCATCTTCCAGGGTGATGGGGTGGTAGACTTGTGGCACTGGGTCTGTCTACTTACTTTTGTTATGAAATCTCAGATGTGTTGATTTAGGCCCAGAAAAGATAATATTGAAGCCCAGATTTGAATCATCAACATGCTGTGCGTTGTGAAAATCACTGGTAAAATATCTACTGTCTTGTTGCTGCAGAATTCCAGAAACTGTGGAGGAGTGTTACTGTGGATTCTATGGATGAGGAAAAAATTGAAGAATATCTGAAGCGACAGGGAATTTCTTCCATGCAGGAATCTGGACCAAAGAAAGTGGTGAGTAATCTCTAGAATAAATTTAATCTTCTCTTCTCTGAGCTTTATCTGCTTCCCATTCTGAAGAGCAGGTAGTCATTCTCCCCATCTGGCTTTGGGAGACTGTCTGATCCACTGACTTAGACACAGCTGAGGTCATGCACTGACGCCATCTTTGAGGGTCAATGTGCCTGCCTGGGGGCTGCTGCCCATGCCTGGGAGAGCACTCTGTCGCCAGCCCCCCTGGAGAAAGCCGCTGTGGTGCTGCTTTCTCACTTGTAAGCCTTTGCACAACCCACTCCCAGCCCATGAAAGTAGATTGCATGACTGTCTGCTTGGCTTTTAACCCCTTCATTGTGTGCCTCCCCTTTCTCTGTGAACTGTACAGACTCAGCTCTGACCACATCGCACCATCCATGTTGATTCTTAGGTCCCCCAGGCACCAGACAGTTCTGTGTTCAGAGCCCCTAGCCTGCTCACTGGAGGCAAATGAAGACTGATAGATTGCCTTGTACTGGCTACCAACAATCTGTAGCCCAAGAACAGCAGGGTGTCGATAATTCAGCAACACCCCAGAATAGTAGTGGTGAACCTATGGCATGTTGTAGCAGCTGGCTGTTCATTATGATTGAAAGCTCTAAAAGGTTCACCTTCACTGCTAGACCTTTCCTGTGGTGCCTCTTCCCTCTTTCCCTTGCCAGCATTATGCTTTGTAGCTGCTCTTTGTGGGATTCTCTCAATCTGAATTTTTAGGACTCATAAAAGGGGAAGATTTATTGCCAATGATCTCTCTATGAATGAATGAGTGTAATTACAACCTTTGATGATTTCCTGATTAGTTTGATTTTTAAAGAATGTTATATCAGGGGGCTGGCGAGATAGCTGAGTGGTGTAAAGCGCCTGCTTAGGCAAGCATGAAGGGACCTTGGTTCGATCCCCAGCACCACATGCCATGCCAGCCCCGCCCCCAGGTTGGGCTGAGCTGACCATAAAAAAAAAAAAGGAAAAAATAAAGGAAACATTTTTTAAAAAACTGTTATATCAATATGTCCGAATGTATACTAATGTAATATACTAACATGTATGCTATTAGCATAGAGAATATTACCAGCCAATGTGTGTCTTAAGCATTTGTACATTTTGTCATATCTCAATAGTTTTCTAGATTTACTTCACCTTTTTTCTTGAATAGTGCCATTTAATATTTTTAGACTTGATAACAGAGATAATACGTAGCACCACCTGTATTTTCGGCATCATGCCTGGGATATTTGCGGTACAGTGGACCCTCAAGTTACGAAGGCCTGGCACATGACCAACTTGGGTTATGACTGGAATTTTAGTTTTAACTTAGGACCAGAGTCTTGAGTACGACCTAAATGCTGGCTGTGCTTCCAAATGGTCTCAGACACAAATTTAACTCTTAAAAGAGTTCTGGAAGGAATATTACAACATCCTTTTGTCTGTGGGGTTAATTGAGGAATTGTGGGCCAGTGTCTAAGGACACTGAGATCTGCCTATATACAAAGAGAGACTTTGACGGCTGTGTAGAGGAGCCTGAGCCTTTAATTAGCAACTTGGGTTACAACCAGTCCGTGGAAACACATTGAGTATGTAAGTCAAGGGTCCATTGTAAGTTTTTGCACAGGCCTGTTTATTCCTGATGGAAGTTTGCCTCTCAGGGTAATAGAAGGCTCCAGACCTGGTTGGAGGCTGGGGTGTGTGCTGTGAATGGTGTGAGGGGAATGAAAGCAGGGCAGAGGTGCAAACCCTGTACCTTGCTTCTGGGCTTGCTCTTCTATCCTGACCACACTATCCCTTAGGGTCACTGTGTGTTATGACTGGTTTTGCCTTTTCTTTTAGGCCCCTATACAAAGAAGGAAAAAGCCTGCTTCGCAGAAAAAGCGACGGTTTAAGACTCATAACGAACACATGGCTGGAGTGCTGAAGGATTACTCGGACATTACTCCTAGCAAATAGTAACACTTTGTCATTGATCAGAGAGTTACAGACACACAATCAAGACCATTTTAGTTGATGCTCAGATCAGAAGACTTGCCGTTTTGCTGCTGAGGACTGAGAACAAGGAGCAGCTCAGTTTGTAGAACAAGCACAAGTACCAAACTTGAGCTTATTTTCATCAAATAGGCCGATGAGAAATGTGATACTCCTGTTAACCTTCTGTTCTCTCTTGGGAGAAAGGGGCTTAGCATGGCATGCAGATGTCTTTGCTATTTATCTCTACTTCTAAATGGTTCCTGGTTCCCTTTTCCCTCTTTCTTTAGAACAGGCTTACAGTCTTGGATGCAATATTTGTTTATTCCGAAAGAGCATATTTATAATAAAATCATCGTAGAAGGATTTTTAACAAGTTAGTAAATTCATTTTGTTTCTTTTCATTCTTGATATGACAGGAAGCAGCTCCAGGCCTTGGCCGGCGTGGAGTGTACATTGTGACGCTAGAAGACTGGCGTCTGCATTGCTCATGAGTGTGTGGATTTGGCAGGCGAGCCAGGCAGTGAAGCTGTTGTCTTAGTTGGTGTTTAGTCTCTTGACATTAGAAGGTTGAAGTGTGGTATGATCTCGAACCAGGAGAGGCATCTGCCTGCCCTGAAATCAGCTTTGCTGTGCCTCAGGCCTCACACTGTGGCTTGTCCTGAGGTGAGGTTCTTTGATGAAGATGCCCTTAGTGGCTTATCACTGGCCTGGCTTTTGAGCGCCCTTATCAAGTATGTGTGTGATCTTAAGGATTATGGAGACTTATAGGAAAATTGCAGGTTGAACACTTTCCTCTGTGCTTTTTGTTTTGCTGTGGTCCTTGGGACCATGTCACAGATCGAGGTTGTATTGGGTTATAAAAATGAGGTTTGGGCCGGGGAGATGGCTCAGTAGAATAAGTGCTTCCCTGGCAGGTGCAAGGGCCTGAGTTCAATCCCCGGTTCCACAAAAAATAAATAAATAAATAAATAAAAAATAAAAATACAGACCTAATCAGTTGTTTAGGGGCTGGTGAGATGGGTCAGTGGTCTAAAGCACCTATTTAAAACAAGCTTAGCAAAGCACAGGGACTGCGGTTCAATCCCCCAGCACCACATGCCAGCCAGCCCCGCCCCCTGGTGGGCTGAGCTGGCCACACACACACACACACACACACACACACACACACACACACACACAAATAAATAAATAAATAAATAAATAAAATTTTTTAAAAAAAAATGAGGTTTGATGGCAAGGACAAAGCGCATGCACGCACACAGAGGTTTGATATCATCAAAAAAGTATGTGATGGTGATCCAGAACAATGCTACCTTGATTAGATGAAGACTTTTTGCTATGTCAGCTTTTATTTTTTATGCATATTTCTCACCTCTATTTAATGTTTTTTGCTAGAACACAGGAAATTCAGCCTGCCTTGCTTTGTGTCTTAAGGTAGAGCTCTACTATTTTACAGCCTAAAACCAGTTTCCTATAAATCTAGACTAGCTTGTTTCCAAGTATATGCCTTATTTTGTGGGCCATACCTTCTGTCCTGTCTTACAGGCTAGATATGGAGATGTACTTTGGATATTTCAAACATTTCAGCATCTTTGCAAAGAAACAGACATCAAGGCCTCCATCACAGGTTTCTAAAAAATTATTTTATTATTTTGTGTGTGTGTGTGTGTGTGTGTGGCCAGATCAGCCCAGCAGGGGGCGGGGCTGGCTGGCATGTGGTGCTGGGGGATTGAACCGCGGTCCCTGTGCTTTGCTAAGCTTGTTCTAAGTAGGTGCTTTAGACCACTGAGCCATCTCACCAGCCCTTTTTTATCTTTTTTTTTTTGGTGGAACCGGGGATTGAACTTAGGCTCTTGCGCCTGCCAGGCAAGCACTTTTTCTACTGAGCCATCTCCCTGGCCCTCCATCACAGGTTCTAAGAGAAGACAGTGTGTCTTGTGTTATCAGTGACTTGTACCTAATCCTGCAATCAACAGTCCTTTGTAGACTGGCTTGATAATGACATCAGCTACTGTGTCTAAAATTTACTTCAGAATTGAGGAGGAAACAGACAAGAAGTTTTCTGAGCCACAATAAAGCTGATGTTTAAGTCAGCAAGATAAGTATCCTGGCTTGAGATGGTATTAGACCATGGTCCTGCAGATAAATTCAGTAGGTCTCATTCTCTTGCATTTTCTTTTTCTTTGGTTAAGCTTGATCTCCTTTGCTTACATTATGGAAGAGCGACTCCTTCATGTGGAGGCAATGGGATTGTGTCACTGGGAGGGTATAATTTTTGTGGAAAATCTCACGGCCACTTGGTTTTGCCTGATGAACATAATAAAAAGAAATGAGTCTTAGTAGTTCTGGGTGTCTTAAAAACATCCAGCAGAAATTCCAAGTTAAAGTTAGGCCCTCACCTCTACCCACTTCTGCCATTTGTGAAGGTGGGAATGGGCATGGCTGGGTGAGTGAATAGGCCTAGTCTGCAGTGCATTTAATGAATAATTAAGTTACCTGAGGCTTTTAGGGGCTAGCAAAGAGAGGTGTAGTTGAATGTAGACAACATGTAATAGAATGCTTGCTTGCTGCTGTCACAACCTTTAAATGTGGCCAGAAGATGATGGGACCCTGATTGGAGCTCTTGATACTGTTGAACAGTGTTACAGATGGGACAGCGCAGGGCTCATGGCGAAGGACCCTAAATGTATAGCCCTGGATTTATGAGCAGCTTGAAATTATGACCAGCTAGTTTTTACTTTTGCGATACATTTAAAGGAAGATTTGGACTTTTCTGACATTTCATTGGCTGTGCATTATGCCTTGCCCTGAGCACAGTACCTGCAACAGCAGAGGTCTGTGCTGTCCCTGAAACTTCATGTAGGGTGGCATCCATCCCGGGGTGCACACTGTGGATCTGTCCTGGGAGATGAGGTGTTCTGTGGGAGTCAAGAGGGATGGGAGACGCCCAGGGACTCATCTTGGAACACCTACCTACCTGTTCCTGGCTTGAGTGTTGGGGGAAGCACACTTCAGAAACATGGAAGTAGCATACGCCGTTTACTGTTGGCCTTCTTCTGGCTATAAAGGATTACAGCACGTTTTCTTCACAGAATGATTTCCATTAGATATGTGGTTGGCCGTACTAACTAGAACATGCCTGAACTTGTCTGCTCTCAGAAATGAAGTTGGGTGGGATGGGAAGTATTTGGATGGGAGAAAATAAGAGTTGGTTACTCTTCAGATTTGACAGTAGTACTAGTCCAGCTCTGCTGGTTTGAAGGTAACCAGTAGTTTCAGGACCTCAGTAAAAAAACAAGTGAATGTAACCCTCACCAGGTTTCTAATTTGGTATTAATGAGCAAAGAATGAGTTTCTCAAATGGAAGAAAAGGACCCGATTTTCTCTTCCCCAGCAATGTCCCGTTAAGAGCAAACAATGGAGAATGAAGGCTTCTGTTGTGTTACCTCATGGGTGGATTATGATGTGTTTTTTGGGAAAAAGCTCCCATAAACCAGGGTATTAGTCTGGTTTGACCTCTTGACACCCCAAAAAGAGAACTTGTGACTGTCACTGGCAAGCTACAAAGAAGACAAGTGAGGGTAGAGTTCATACAGTGGTGGTTAGTTTGGGGATACGTTTAACATTAGGTGAAAGCCAAGGCTAGTTTAGGGGAGATGAATAATATCAGTAAAGTGCCATTTGTCATGTGGTAGAAACCTTTGAAAATTTCCAAATTGGGGGCCCTGATCAAATTGTTTATCATCACAACCATTAGTTTTATGTCACTAGTAATAAACATTCTTTGGCCTGAGGGCATGACAGAGTGGTTTCAGACAGTGATTGTGCTGATACTTTGTAAACAGGAGTGCCCTTCTCATGAAACAGTTGAATGTTGCAGTGATATGCAATATGGGAAATCTGTTCATGTTCTTTGCAGAGTATGTCTTGCCGAGAGTCTTAGGGAATAACCTTGATTCTTGTGATCTTGAGGTAGGTGCCAAGAATTCTTTTTTATGGGGATAGTGTGTTGGCTGTAGCTCTGCCTTTGTGTGTGGTGGTACTGGGGATTGAACTCAGGCCCTTCACACTGAGCCACACCCCTCCTTTTAAATTATCATTGCTAATTGCTGAAGCTGGGTTCAACCTTGTGATCCTCCCACTTCAGCCTCTCAGTAATGGGATTATAGGCATGAGCCACCACACCCATGTGCCCCCATTTTACTTAACAGTGCTTCTGCTATATGGCTCAGGATGCTGGAGGGTGGAAAGGTCGGGATAGGGCAGTAATAATGGCAAGTTGGTGCGTGAAGATAGAACACGCATGTACTACATGCAATGAATCTGAAAGACTTCATTTTCAAATTTTAATTTGTATCAGGTAGGCATATTAATGTCAGATGTTAGTTTGATAGTGTTGTGTTCACAAAAAAATTTATTTGGTAATAAAAGACTATAACAATTGTACTTTCTAGACCCATTCCCAACAAATTAAAACCTTTCATAAAGGATTAAGGGCAAACAGACCTTGCTTTCTGTCCTGAGTTCCTGATTCCAAGCCACTACAATTATTCTTGCTCATTGAGGGGACAGAGAATTTCTAGGACTGCAATGAAATTTGTGCATCAGCAGGAATGTGTCTCAAGTTATCGAATTGGTAAATACCACCTAGTCTTTGACTTGCACATGACAGCCATCAACTCAGTGGTGATGGGACACTGCTCCATCCCAAGGCCCCTCATGGAAAGTCATGTGGAAATGACTGTTCAGCTGTGATTGATGGGCTGGGGTGGCCTGAGGCAATGACACATCTCAAGAGACAATTGCCCTCAGTTCTTGGGCTGTGTGGCAATCTCCAAGGCTTCTGATTTGGAACCTTACAGATGGGCTGAGGGCAAAACCACAGAGCAAATCTGCCTCAGAGATCACTGGTGTTTCTAGTAGATGACTTGTAATCACTTCTTTCCAGTAGCTCAGGGGGTTTGAAGGCAGTGACTGTTTGTGTTTGGTGGGTAGTCTGGAACGCAGAATGTGAGACACTCATCAGAGATAGAGAGCACTACAGGGTGCCAGTGGTTATTGCCCTAACTTGGAGTTAAATGATACCGTGTGTAAAACCTGTTTTGCTCAAGTCACCAGAAAGCTGTGACACTTTCACAGAACTGGAATAATCTTGAGCTTAATAAACTTTGTAGGTTAAGGCGGATGGATTATAGTCAGCTGAGTTTAATAAAAGGCCCCTCATAAAGGTGTGTGGCTCTATGAGTCCCTTAGTGACCACCTGGTGTAGGGTATGCATACAGACCTCATCCTGGCCCTCCTATCTGTTTTCTCTTTCAATCTTGTGTGGCTCAACAGCACTCTTACTAAAACCTAAAAATGGAAGGAGATCTCTGTAAGACATATATAGTAGTTCTTGTGTGTGTGCGGGTGTGTGTGTGTGTGTGTGTGTGTGTGCGCTGGGAATTGAACTCAGGACCTTGTGCTTGCCAGGCAAGTGCTGTGCCCTTGAGCTACATCCCCGGCTCACATATATTGTTTTTATAGAAAAGAATTTGCCAAACAGTGGTCTGACAGCTGGAATAAACACTTTTATTTTTAAAAAATGACAATAGAAAAGTACCTTTAAACAGTTTATAAAAGCGTAACTGTCCATGAAGTGGCTGTTTCCGTGGAAGCAAGTTACAGGAGTCTTCAAGAGCCAGCCAGTACTGAGGGCATAAGCAGGTCCTTGAACGAGTGTCCCCAAACTGATGTTATCCCCTTTTCCTCATAGGTAATGGTCACTCCTGGCTTTTCTTTTTAAATCACCTTTAAAAACTTAATTCTAATGAAAAACAAACCCCAAACCCACCATATAATCATTAAAACATTTTTCAACATGTGAGCATATCAATAAGAAAGACTGTGATCACATCTAGCTATATCAGCCAATGGAAATTCTTAGGTCAGTTAATTTTACACATGGCTCTTATACAAGGGGAGGGCAAGAGGCTAGACTGTCACTCTGGAAATGTGTCAACTCAAAGCAGGACTGACTGGCTTTGAAGACGTCTTGAAGCAAGAACAACAGTATTCATTGCACATGGCCTCTAGTTACATCATCGGCTCTTCCTGTACCTGTGCCAAAGCAGTCTCACTGTGAGCACACAGGACTCAAGAGCATGTGACAGATGTCTATTTTGCGTGGTGTCACCAAAACTTTGGAACATTAAACTTAGTTTGGCGAATCAGTCACAAAATCACCTGTGGTATGTGCACCAGCCGCTGTAGCCACGTAGGCTGGGCGATGCTGACCCTGAAGGAAAGGCTGGCTCCAAGCAAGGTGCTCTCAAGCTTGAGCCGACTCTGCAGTTCCACCTGCAAGGATGCGGATGGCTTACGGAGGTGAGGGATGCATCAGGGTGCGACACGGCACGTGCTGTCAGAAGATGAACATGGACTGCAGAACCAAACATTTGGCACACGGTTTGCATAGTCACAGCTGGAGGCACCAGGGCTAGCTAATGTCACTTTTTGGTCGGGAACTGTGACCAAAGAGTTCTTCGCCCAGTTGTGAGTATGCCATTAGGCAGAAGCTCCTGGAAGCCTGGATTGTCTTGCAGGGGTATCCTGTGGGAACTAGGATGGGAGAAGAGTTCTAACCCTACCACATCACGTACACTGGACTCTGGCCAGGCAAACAGATTCAATACATTCACAACACTTCTTAAAGCTGATAACTATTTAGAAACATGCCTCAAACATGCAGCTTATTTTAGACGAAAAAAAAATAGGTATTTTTTAATTACAAGCATTCAAAAGTCAAGCACAAATGTGGTCCAACCCAGTGTTAAGAATCATCCTGTCATACTTAAAATGTTCGGTATAAAAATACTCATTTTATTGGTTTTATTGTTGATTTCTATGTTTTGCTTGAAAATACCTCTAAATGTATAGAAATGTATGTCAGACCATGCATTCACAAATAACACACTATTTCTTACAATTACACAGTGTAAAAGAGTAAAACATTTTTTATTATATTTTTTCTTCGAGAAAAAACAGATGTGTGATAGAGGCTGTGGCAAAGTCTTGAAGGGATCAGAGCTGGCCAAGGGTTTTTTAAATCCTGAAACAGAAAGAACACATTGGGAGAATAGATTGCAAAGCTGTGCGGTACTTCCCTTGCTGCCAGGGTGACAGACCCACTGGAAGATGGCTAGTGATTCTGTGTGTACAGGAAACATTCATCGGCCACCAATGAAGACCACAGGACCAAGAGTACCAAAGGCCTCACGGAGATATGTGGGCAGCATGTATTTAATTTTCATTATCTGACACACTTGCCTGAAACTGTAAGGCAAAAGTCATGTTTGCTCTACAGCAGAAAAAGGGGCCTTCAGTCATTAGAGTCCTTTGATTCCCATTTATTTGGGGTTAGTGCCAATTTTTTTTCCATTTTTCTTTTTGCAGTAAGAATTGAACCCAGGACCTTATGCATGCTGGCCGCTGCTCTAGTGCTGAGGTATACCCCAACCTTGATTCTGGATATTTAAACACATCCGTTAACTTTGGGTTCATCTAATTTATGTCAAGAATATTTCGAAAGTCTCTACTACTGTTCTGTTACTTGTTTTACTTTCCCTAACTCCCTGCTTTGGTTTCACCACGACCGACTCGCTGTTGGAGGAAGTGTGCACAGAAGCAGTTTGGCATGTGCCACAGCTTCCGTCCAGGGAACTGACTGCTTACATGTGGGGAAAAGGCTGTGATGGAATGCTGGTGGTGGTATTACTATTTTAAGACAAGCTTACTTGGAAAATCTGTGTTTAGCAGTAAATTTGAAGTGAAGGGAAATACTAAGGTGAGCACTTGAGCATGGCTAATGGGCAGCCCTGGAAACGTGCCTATGCTTGCTTCATCTGTGTGGCACTGGTGCCTCAGGACCTCAGATTTTACTCAGTATTTTTTCACATCCTAGTTTTTAAATGACAGCTCTTAAGGATAGAAATGACAGTGGATCCTGCTGAGCTTTAAGGCCCATTATTACCATAGATCATGGGGAGTCCCTGAGGCGGAGCTTTCTGGAGGGGAAATCTGGATACTCAGAACTTTCACAGTGCTGTTAGGCTAGTGCTTGTCTCCAGGCTGTTAAAATACTGACTTCATTTCAGCACATCAACTCAGCTGCTTCTTACAGAGAAAGGTCAAACTAGAGAGGCCTTTGATGTGGAAATGCCCAGCTTTCTGTCAGGAACTCAACCCCACTTCCATTTTCTCCCTTTGCTTTCTCAGCAGAACTCTGGGTCAGAAGGATCCATCGGGGAGAACAGGTGAACAAGGCCCTAAACTCCTTCAGGAAAATCTCCTGTTCTGGTTCCTTTATCTCCCCCCTACTGCGCAGCACAGGGTAGGTCTATCTCTACCTAGCACATACTGCATGATGAAGAAATTAGCAGGTAGGGTGTCCCATGCCCAATTCTGGTCCAACACACAGACCCTGTGTTAGAAGGGCCAGTAGCAGAACCCCTTTTGGAAGTGCCCATGTTTTCTTCTGCATCTGCTTTCAATCTGGAAGGGTGGGCGCCACAGTCTGTGTGTCACATGGAGCAACCCTGGGTAGGCAGAAGAGTGGCGAGGGCCAGGACCTGGAGTTAAGTTTTGAGACGTCTCGGGCCTCAGTCCCTCGAGTTCACGTGGTCTACCTCACTTGTGTCCTTTGTCAGCTCAAGGACACTGGTTGTCCGGCATCTTACAGAATGAAAAGCACCCATTCTCTACCCACTCCCTGTGGGAGAACATGTCACAGTGAAGTGAGCCTGGCTTCAGAGACCGGAAAAAAGGCCAACTTCCTTCTTCCACCAAATTCCAATCTCAGTTTTGAACTTGCCCACATGCCAGCGGCCCAAGTTGTCTGTGTGGAAGCCAGGAAAGCCTCTGTGAAGAGTGGAATGATTCACAGGCTGGCACTTGGCAGTCTTGGCCTGGATGTGGGGACACGACATCAAGACCAACAGCCAGCAAGCAGAGCTGTCATGCTGCTTTCAGGGCTCAGGGGAATGAAGAGACTGCCATGGTAGCTCTCCTGCCCACTCACTGGCTGCGCCTTCTGTTTGAGGGGGCGGAATCCGCACCACCTCTCTCAGCCCCTTCCTGTGCTTGGCAGGCTGCCTGCCAGGTCTCCTGCCTTCTATTCTGGACATCCCAACAGTCTTTAGGCAAGTGCACCTGAGTCCACAGCAATGTGGACATTATACTGCTTTTCTTGTCCTCTCAGGTTCTTCCAGGCCATTTCTCTGGAAACCTAACTCGGCACCTTGTTGCTTCCAGGTCCTGAGTCTCTCCCAGTACCCAGGCTGCCACTGCTACCACGTGGGTTTGTCCTCTGTATCTTGAACTGTTCTGCACGGGACACCAGGTGGTACCAGCTCCTCCATGCCCATCTCTCACTTTCCCCAGTGGCTGCGTTAGCCCAGATCCCCAAATCGTCCATTCTGGCAGGCTATTTACATGAGAAGTCTACCCTGAAAACAGCTTTCCCGATGCCTGCAGGGCTCCTCCTTGGGCCCCTCGGATCGCTTTCCTAAGACTGTCTCCTGCTTCCTCAGTCCCAGCCATGATCACTTACAGGGAAAGCATCCAGACACTGGAGTTCAGGGATGGATGGAGAGTAAGAGATGGGCCACCAATGGGATGTGGCCCTGCAAGTGGTCCTGAGCCGGGAGCTGTGCCTGGTGGGACCGGCCTGGGTTCTGTGTGCCTGAGCCCTTCTGCTGGGCAGCTCTGCCCAGTGGGATCTGCAGTAAGTTACCAACCCTGGCCATACTGCACCATTCTTTTTTCTCTGCCTGTGCAAGAATACAAGACAATCTTGGCTGGCTAGAAGTGGGGGCTCTAGGAGGGAAGAAAGAAGACTGGGTATGAGAGTGTAGCCTCTAGTTTCCAGAACTGTGCTGTGTAGATGCAATTCTCACATGGGAAAAGAATGTATCCACATTGCTATCAATGTTCCCAGACAGAACAGAAGGTCAAAATGTGGCTATTTCAGTCCCTGTAAACAAGGAAGAGATTTAGTTAGGAACGGAGTTCAAACCTTGGAATGTATTACAGGGCCATTTTCAACAGATGCCAGAGCCATCCGGGAACATGAAGCACCAGGGCCGGAGTGAGAGGGTCAGGCTGAGGTGGCACCAACTTGCAGAACCCTTCCCCAGGTTGCATGTCATGGTGGGACATAAGGACATATATAAATACATCCTCCTTAGGTTGCAACTGTCCTGGGAGGATGTCCCCTGATATCTTAGTATTGTGAGATTCTAAATCATCGCACTTAGCTTTGAGGTAAAGATCACCGAGTGGCACTCAGTACTTGGGGTCAGTTGGCAAGGACTAGGGACTGCTCTGTCCTGGCATCTCCAGGTGATTTAGAAGTATCTGTCCGGATACCGAGGCCTGCTGCTTCCAGAACGAGGAGACTGCGCTCCTCCTCGCTTCTCTGCGTGACCTATTTACCTGTGATTTTTTTCCCCAGGCTTAGCACTCACACATGCACTCATTTTTTACCAAAGGCCAGATAAGCACCCCCCTTTGTCCAGTATGGGACATCATATGACAAGTGTTTGTAACTAATGAGTGACTTAGTTTTTACACCTGTCTGCTTGGTATTTTGTATTTAACTAAGTATTGATTATTTTATTTTTTGGTACTGGAAATCAAACTCAGGACCTTGCGCTTGCCAGGCAGGCACTTATGCCACTCAGCTATCTCCATGACCCAAGTTTTGATAATTTTAATAACATTTTTTTTAAATGTTCAAAGTCCACACCTATGTAGAGTGTCTAGGGCAAGAATTTTCTGTAGTTAGTAATTCCAGCTCACAGAGGACTATGCACTGGGGATTGCAGAAGCAGTGTGACTGGGAACAACCTACTCTAACTCGCTTTGTAGGCACAACTGGCATGGTCAGTGCCAGGGCCCTTCCTCACACACCCCAGAACATCACCCCCAAATCCCAAGCTGCCCCTTTCTGCTTCAGCACTAGGCCTGCCTTTCAGGATTTCCAGGAAATCCTTACCTCCTGCTGCTTTGACTGGGCTCCTGCCTTATATATGACCGCTTTACTACATTAAAAAAATGATGTCTAACCTGCTTTCAAAAATTGGAAGGGTGACTTATAATTGGTCTTTAAATTTCCCCAGAGGAGACGAAATAAAACTAGTCTCTTTTAAAAAGTTGAACTCCATGTAATACCAGCATGACTATTATGAGCACTATTGTTAAGAACCATGACAAAAGAAAAATCTCATTAGAAGGCCATGGAACCAGTGGGATAAATACCAGCTGTGCTCCACGCTGTGGACAGGTGCTGCCTGTCAGTAGTGAATTGTGTCAGCGAGAGAAGCAGGTGCACTGGAAAGACCCTGAAGAACAGCTTGTGTACTTCCAGCCACAAAGCTGCCCAGGTGAAACTGCAGCACACCCTGGAGGCCTGTTTCTGGACAAGTGCTGACGCACACGGTTCTGAACATGAATTGTTTAAGCCCCAAAATGTGTGACAGCCTCCTTGGCCAGCACTGCCTGGTCTTCTGTCCTTAGCAGGAATTCTACCCTCCTTCTGACTCATCTTTTAAATTTTTTTATAGGCCCTTTGTAGGGATGAAAATTTGCCACCTTATTTGGGCTGAGACATGCACCGCTGGCTGCAGGCCCGTATTTCTACTTTCCTAAGCCAAGCTTTCCAGAGACACCTAGAAGCCCCTCTCTTGGTGCCTGGCAGATAGGTCACCTCTGGGAACACACACTGTAATTAAGACTCCAAACTGGAGAATGACAGCTGATACCAACTGAAATACCACTAGAATCACTACTGACAAAAAAGCCCAGCAGTTCAGAGGAATTCTTTAAGAATCCTGTAAAATTCAGTCATACTCAAAAATAATTATCCTATTACAGAAAACATTCATAAAAATGTTTAAGTCATAAAAGGGCTGTACTCAGTATAACCAGGTGGATTAGGGGACGGGAATACAACACATTCCTGATGGTGCTGGATTTCTAAAAGAGCTTTGCAACCAGAAGGGAAAAGCCTCATTTTTCTGCGGAATTCCCTTAGGGCACTTCGTTCTGCATGCTACTGGACAACCAGATCCGGGTATGCTGCCAGCCTCACCTAAAGGCCACCCTGGATGGCCTCCCCTCAGTGGGCTATGCAGGGCACAGGCTTGCCCAGCAGAACCCCTGGGCAGGCAAGCCTTGACTGGGAGCCCATCTTCCCACACTGATCGGCGCCTGCCTTTGGAACTCACCAGCACGCTCCAGTTTTGAAGAACAGCTGGAGAATAGTCACCACCAGTGAAGAGCGCATTAATACCCACAAGACAGATTGCAGCCGCCATCACACACCTGGGACCTGGACAGACAGAAAGCAATAGTTACCTGTGTCCAGCAGCCTCCCCGCAGGCCTCTCGCTTGGTGGCCCTGCGCCTTGACCGCCAGCCTGTCTGGAGGTAGAGTGCCCCAGACCAAGAGACTGAAGAAGCTCTTGACACTGAGCTGAGGACAAGCTGCCTCTTCAAAATGACCCTATGAGAGTGGCAGTGAGTGGCACCTACGTAGGAAGAGGACCTTGGGACTCAGTGGGGCAGAGGTGGCTCTCAGGCCAGAGTGGAAAGACATTCTGAGAAGTGTGCTGTATTGTCTCCTCTGCCGAGGGCTACCCCATGGGGACTGTGCCCTGTGGTCATACAGTTAGATCCCAAGGACTGTCGAGACCTGAGTGCCACCTGAAAGCCCGTCTCCCAAGCAGAAGGGCAGGACCTGAGGCCCCAGTAGGGAAGACTCAGAATCGGCCACAACAGCCTTGGACAGCCCAGGGCCACAGAACCTTGTGTCGTCACATGCACCAGTGACTAAGATTTACTCCAAACACCTCCAGGAAAACAAAAGTAAAAAACCCACCCCTGCGACATACCCCATGATTCCCTCAGGCAGTGATGGTGAGCCCTTCCAAGGCTGAGTGCCCAAACTGCAACCCCGAACTCAACTGATCACCAGGTGCCAACACTGTGAAGAAGCCCTAACAGTGCGTTCTAGTTTGGAGAAACAGCTCATATACTTGGTCACCAGCCCACTGGAGCACACCTGCCACATGTTTGCCAACACCGCCCTGCAGTATGAGCCCTGTGAACTACAAAGATACAGACACTGACAGCGGTCACCATCAGTACTCCCAGAGGCCCCACGGCTTTCCACAAGTCCCTGGCACCAGTGGGAGAAACCCAGCTCTCTGCACGTGGACACTGATGGCCCTGTTCTCTAGCACATTTCTCAAGCTATCACCCAGGCCAATAGTGTTTGTCCTGAAGTGAGGGAGGCTGCTCACTATGCAGGGTTTCCTCCCAGAAGGCTGTAAGCTCTGCCACCAGCTCCCCGAGCTCCTCAGACGTCTCACTGGCTCAGGTGGCACTGAGGCTGCTGATTCCCTGGGCAGCTCTGGAATTAGGGGAGCCTGAAGGAGCCTGCCTTCCAAGGAACTCTATCTTCTCAGAATTCAGGCAAAAGCATCCCCCCCCCCAAATTTCACTACAAACGCGATGCAAGATGAGTAGATGCTCTCCAAAGTTTTTTTTTTTTTTTCCCCCTTTTTGATACAGGACCCTGCTATGTAGCCCAGACTGACCTCAAACTCAGTGATTCTCCTGCTTTAGTCTCCTGAGTCCTGGGATGACAGACAGCCAACTGGGGCTGCCTATTGCTGAAGAAGCCACACGACCCCAGAGTCCTCCTGGCCTCCATTAAGCTAAGCAAGACGACCACCCAGCTCTGTCTCTGCCTGCTTGGGGTTTGTCAATGAGCTCTGCCTGTTACAACACAAGTGACAGCTGTGTGCTAGGGCTGGGCTCCCTGGGGCAAGGGCTGGTACGAGCCACACCCTTCCACTGACCCAGGGGAGACAACTCCAGAAGCACAAGTGAGCAAATGTGCATACACAGCCCAGGAACTTGCAAAAGGCAGGCAGTGGCTCCAAGCGTGGCCTCTACCTGAGCTATGGAAGGAACCCTGAGATTTGAACAGATGTCCTGGTCTCGCATGTGGCCACCCTCTGAACTTCCATCAGGGACAAACAGCCAGACTCAGAAACAGGGAGCAGGCAGGGTTGCAGCTCCTGCAAGCGCAACTGCCCAAGCCCAACCTGTCGACTGGCCCACACAAGACCCTGGGCTCAGAGTAGCCACCCAGGCAAGGCCCTGTCTCCCAAGGAAGGGATGCGGCCACCTGTGAGTCACCCAACGGTAGGGACTCCCCAAAGCCTCCCCACATCAGGCAGCTGCATCTCAAGCCCAGATACTTTTGCTCAGCGAAGGTGAGGGATGTCTAATCACTCTCCAAACATTTGCAGCCAGGTGGACGTGTTCCAGAAAAGCAGGCTGTAGTATGCAAAGTGAGGGGCCTCCATTCAGGCTGACCCTACCCTAGTCACACTTACTTTATTTATTTTTTTTTCTTTTCAAAGTTTTATTGATAAACATATAGCAATGAGACAGTTTCAAATCAAATCGAAAGTACAGTTTCAACAAATAATACACTGCATATATTCTTCTTAGTGGTTAATTGCTGTACAAGATGCAGACTTGTGATCCTACTTACATACACCATTAGAAAAAATCATTCTATTCATTAAGAGAATGCAACTATATATCTATCCCAACCACTTTGAATACACAGATACAAAATGGACATTCATAGTTATACCCCAATTTTTTTTTAAGTTCCGTTGTTGAATATTATAGGTGAGTCACACTTACTTTAGGGGCTTCCCCTTTCCCCCACAACACTTACCACCACGCAAACTACTGTATCTATTATTATCTTCCTCCCCCTCCTTATACTATAGCTGTCCACTGAATATCTACTGTGTTATGACTTCATGTGTGACATGGAGAACTAATTAATAGAAGGGAAATGGCAACCAGCCACAAAAACTGCTCCAGTTTCTGGGTGCACTGCAGTTAAGAGCACAAGCCCTGAGAGTGCAGGGGTGATGGCAGGAAGCACAGCAGCTCTCTGGGCCCACATGAAGAACCAGTGCCTTCCTCCCTACAAAGCATCTCTACACGTGGTCTTTTGGGTGGGACAATGCTGTGCTCACAGCCAAAGAAGTGAGGCCGCTTCCAATTCCAGCCACATTATTTCTGGCCATTTCCTTTTCTAATTTGGTGAGGCTGTAATGACATATGCTTGTAATTTCTATGCTGTGGGCCTGGTCTGAGGCCAAGGAGACCTCATGTGTACTTATGAATAACCTCCCACACCACACCAACGCCTTCCCTTTTAAAAAGCATGTAACTGTGACTCTTATAACCACTGAGGAGGGATAAAAAAGGATGCCTATGCTCCCCCATTCTCATCAGATCTGGGAAACTGGCAATTTCCAGGTACCTCTACCAGGGATTTTTCAGCTACCTGGCTGCGTCATCATAAAACCGTAGGGAGTATGGCACGTGGACAGGGTCCACAGCCACACAAACACAGCACTGGAGCAGCCACCTGCCCACAGGCCCTCCAGGGAGGCAGTCCTTAGGCCAACAGCAGGGCACATCCCAGCAGGTGACCTGGAGCACCCCCCAGCAGTGACTTCCTGTATCTCACGTATTGAGCTCCCAATTCCCCTCCATTAGAACTAAAGCCCCTGAGGGTATACAGGCCTGGGTTTCCTCATTTTTACATCTAGCACACAGGCACAACCCATATTTATTTTAAGAATGAAGAACTACTTTAGTTTACATTTCCAGTCACAGATTTCTCTTTAGCACTAAGAAGTCACAGTGGATAAATTAAAAATCCCACAGGGGCCTCTGAGAGTGCATGCCCACGCTGCTCAGGTCTGGTCGGCACCTGATGCTCATCACACAGGACAGCCGTGTCCCATATGAGACTCTTGCTCCTACCTTCTGTTCTGCTGCTACCTCTCATGGGGGAGGAGGGGGAAGAAAGCCAGAAAGCCCCCTTCAGTGACACAGAGGGAGTCACTGGGCTATGGTAGTACCTCCTTTCATGTGGCCTTTTTCACAGACCCAGCTTGGCCTGAAATGCTTAGTTCTTGAGCACCAGTATTTCCAATTCTAACTTACATTTCCTAATATTACCCAGCTTGGCTTATCAGCCGTCTTGGAAAGGACTTAATCCAAGAGATAAGAACAAGCTGGTCTGACGCGGGTTCCAGAAGCAATGGGCTGTGGTGATGCTCCTTCCTGACCCCCTCTCCTCTTCAACTCTCTCTGGGCTGGGGAAAGAAGGCTGACCAGGGCCCAGGTTTAGCTCAGAACAAATGCCTCAAGTCCAGGAGACATTACACATAATGGATTTCAATCTTACAAGTTTTTTGTTAAACTCTAGGTCTATGGGGAGCCATTGCTAACTCTGCGCTAGTAGCTGTTACTGTGTCTAGATCTCTGGATGATGGATGTCCTGACAGGCCCATGGATGATGATGATCTGGAAAAACTTGTGTACATGCGGCCCAGGACCTTTCTGACTGGTACCCATGCCCTTGGCTTACTGAAGGCTGCCTTCCCTTGCCAGCTTTTCCACCTGAGACTGCCACACTGAGGGAATTCTCCTGATTTAATATCCCTAAGAATCCACCATTACTGAAAGAGGCCACCTAGCTTGCTCCTGCACCCCTGGCCTTACTTGCTTTGTTTCTGCTGGTAAACAAAGGCACCCCAGGCACAGAGCTAGAGCCAGCCTTTCAAAGGCAACTTGCTTGACAAAAATAGACCTCAGGACTCCAAAGAGCCTGGACAACTCAGCATCTTAGCAAGATTCTGTCTGAAAGTAAATAAAAAAGACTAGAAGTTTAGCTTAGTCTGAAGGTCCTGGGTTCAGTCCTCACTACCAAAAAACAAATCTCATTTGGCGTCCCTTCCTTCTTGCTAAAAGGCACTGCATTGCGCAAAGCCAGCCCAGCACTGCCTCTGGCCATGCTTCCCAGGAAGCCTTCAGATGTGGCCTCCCGGGATCCAGACAGGGACTCGGCATTGATGCAGATCAAGAAATAAATATTATTTTATTCAGAACTCGTATGCCCCAACTCCTGCCATCCTCTTTAGCATTTCTAACGGGATGGACGCAGGTCTGGTCCCACCCTCTAAGCAGTATTCTCCCTCTTCTGGGAGGGGCGGTGTAACCTGAGAGGGGGCTGAGGCGACCAGATAGGTGGCAACTTCACTGTAGCAGACCCCCCCAACCCCAGATGACGATTCAGAACAATGGCACCAGTCAGCATACTGCATTACAGGAGGTGTGGCAATTGTGCGGTCATCCTACATTTATAGGAAAAGATAAATTAATAGTTGTTTAAAGTTAGGCCTAAAACTGCACAAATGTCAATTTAGGATACTGTTTGCTTCAAGATAAAAAATCTTAAGGGATGCCTACTGGGAATAGCACAACATCTTTCATACACAAACTAGGTGATTCAGTGAATGACTTAGGCCTGCAACTTGAAGGTGGTTTCTGCTTAATGCTGAGAGCAAGAAACCACAATTTTATGTCACGGAATTTTATGACACTTTTTATATAGAAACAACTGACTGCATCTCCTTTGGACGCAAATCTAAACATGAAGTTAGACTCAGCACAGCACCCCTAGCTCGCTCGTTCCCCATCCTATGAAGAAACCTCCTCCTGGAAAAGATGCACGATCACTAGGAGCTCTTCTCAGAGCCGGACAGGCACAGGGAGCACAGAGGGCGGGCAGGAGATGCTTTACAGTACTCACACAGCATTCAGCAGAACTGACGGGACTTCCAGCCCTGAGAAGTAGCCTCGGAGGGAGGGAGCCAGCGCATCTGCAAAGACACACGGGAGACGCCGTGAGCGACCATGCTCTCCTTACAGAACTCCTCAGTGCTCCCTGCTGGTGCCCATCACACTGCCAGAGTGGCATCCTGGGAGCACTCTCACATGGCCCCCAGGGCAGCATCCCCTTTGGAGGGGCCTGAGGTTCTGCCAGTTCCCTGGCACCCCTGGCCTCTTGAGTGACCAGCCATCCAAGGCACAGTCTGACCCAGTGAACTGCATTTTCCATACCACTTGGAAAGGCCTAGGCAGGCTAGGGGTTGCCTCATAGCTTTCTAGGCAAGATGTGGAAATACCGGCTTTGATAAGAAACCAGCAGTTTATGACCCCTTTTACCACAATGGCCTGGTTAAAACTTCCTACTCCTTCAGAAAAAGGGCTCTGGCTTCCTGACACTGAGGGTTGCTGGCTACTCAATTTCCCCTACTCATTCTGCTGGGAAGGGCAGCCTATAGCCTTGGGCAAAAAGTCTTTCCAGGGAAGACAAGCTTCTAAAAAGGAAAGGTAACCATCTTTTCCACTAAGCTTCTAAAAAGGAAGGTAACCCCAACACAAATGAGTTGAATGATACTTTGTCCACTTGGCAGAATGTTCTGGGTCCTATGCCAAGGGAAATGTGAAAAACAAAAGGGCAAGCACTGGTTCTTTTTGACATTTACCTATTAACAACCTCAGTTTTCCCTGAAAGGCCTTGGACACAGGCAACAAGTACTTGTTTAACTCTGCTTGTCTCCAGCACTGTGAAGGTACTGCCTCCCCAGGAACGTGACAAACAACACAGAAAGTACTGCTGGGAGCAAAGAAGGAAACATTTTCAATGGTGAGGGCTGGAGGACCTCATAGGGGATGGTTCCTCCCCTGGTAGGGCAGGTGAAAGCCTTATTCAGACTTCCAAAGCACTGATATGGGGCAGGAGTCATTCAGGCTAAAAGGGGACACAATGGGGCTAAAGGCCCATGAGGCAGCTCTGTTGACCGCAGGGACTCTGAGGACTGATGAAAATCTGTCCCCTCACTTTCTGTTTTACAGATGGGAAATTCAGTTGGGATCTGGGTATTCTGAATGGGCATGTCACAGAGCACTGCGGCATCAGGCCTGGAATAAAACAAGCTGACTCAAAGCTGAGATCCCTAGAAATCGGGCCTGGAAGAGAAGCTACAGTGTCCCTGATCACCCTTGATTTGCATATGAAGTTACTGGAAGGTCCTTCTCTGTCCCAGGCCTTCTCAGAGGTTGTACTGTATCCTCCAGGCTGTCAGCAGGGGGGACTCCATACCTAGACCACCCTGGAATAGAGGGCTCTGACTGATGTGGGACGTGCGGCTTGGCAGGACCCAGGGCACACCTTGAGCTTCTTTTCTGACACCCGAAATCCACAGCAAGAGTTCCTCAGGCCACTGTGGGTGAGGCTCCGTTGGGACAGCTGGAAGTGGCCCGGTCCTGGGAGGAGCAATGCTGAGCTACAGTAGCCCCCAGGGGCTCCTCAGTAAGGGCCAGCTGTGCTTAGCACCCCAGCAATTCAAGGGTTGAAGAAACTTCCCAGCACATGGACTAAAAAACCATTCCTTGAGAATTTAGAAATACACAGAGGGCAAAGGAAACGAGCCAAGGGGGTTGGGGATATTGGACAAGGGTGCAGAGACAAGGAGAAGGGCAGGTGGAAGGGGCGCCAAGAAGAGAAGAAAAAATGCGTACCTACCCAAGGCTTACGGCTTTGTGCATCGGAATCCACTTGCTCACTAAGCAAAGAGCAGAGTTGGAGCTGCCTTCTTGAGATAGGTGGGAAAGGATGGGCTGGGGTTGCAGGGCCCCCAGCGGGCAGGGGGCTGGGGGCTGACACAGTAAAAAGGCCGGGTCAGTGTGGAATGCAGTGCGGGCGGCTGTGCGGCCCGGGGTGGGGCGGCCGAGGGGGAGAGCCACAGGTGGATGGCAGGGCCTGGGTGGTGACGGTGCCTGGAGACGCAAGCCCTGGACTCCCCACCCGCCTCTCTGGCTGTGGCCTCTCCACCCTCCCGCAGCCCCCGAATTCATTCTCTTTAGTGGCACACATGCCCGTCCTTGGGGAATCCCAGGTGACAAGGTGGCTGATCCAGGCGGTGGGGTCCAGGTTAAATTGTGCTCAGCTGAGCTCGAGTGGAGGATGCCAGTGAGGAAGCAGGCCAGTGACTCTCACAGTGGGTGGACATAGTGGCAGCAGGGTGAAGATGGGCCCTAAAACTCATCACTCTTGTGCCCCATGAATCAGAGCTTTTGGAGGCACTGGAGATGCCAGGCCTGCTCTTCTAGCACCATGGCCCATTGCACCTGCCTTCCAGCAGAGGGCGGTAGCTGCTAGGTTGAGACTGCTGCTTCTCCTGTCTACATGGGAGGCAGGTGGGCAGAGTTCCCTGGCGGAGCCCACAGCTGGTGACTGTTTTGTGCTCACGGTAGGGGTTGGTGCACGGAGAGGATTCACCCTTACTCCCATCAAGCGGCATGTTCTGCTGTGTTCTGGGGCTCCAGGTCACTCTTGCTTCCCCAAGGCCTGCTGTAGATGCGGCATTAATGCTCCAGAAACCTGAAGCTTGCCCCAGTCTCCTGGAGTGGTGCTTCTCCCCATGGACAGATCAAGGGGGCTACACCCATGCACTCCAACCCTAGAACAGGAAGGACTGGTGTCCCTGATAGCATATGATGCAAACTCAAACTCACAATTGCAAACCCTGCACAGAATTCTAGGGAGTTCCGAAGCCAATGTTAGAACATGATATAGATCTAATCCACATCGAATCGGATATGGCCTGTACCAGAGACCATGGCTGGCACTTCATGGACTATGAACAAGGTGTAAGCCCCGTGGAAGACTGTGGGAAGGGTCCCCACATTACGAACTGTCACAGTGAGGCTTGGCCATCAAGGGCCCTACTGGGCTCCTCCATGTGGCGGCAAGTTGCACAGGAGTAGAAGACACTAAGAGAAATATCCAGAAAAAGTGACTGAGATAAAAAAATAAAATGGAACACCAGACAAATTAGTCACAAAAATCACTTTCATCCTCCTCCATTTATAGATGCGTAAGATAAAAGCCCAGAGGATTCAAATATAGAACTTTCAGTCCCCACAATAATGCCCAAGAGGAAAACTCAGCTGTTACCAGGATGGGATCTCTGCCTGATGCTTTGTATGGTGGAGTGTGAGTGGCACAGGATAAAACACAAGAGTGGGTTCATGTCCTGGGCCTGGCTGGTATCATACTGGCCTTTTAAAAAAGACAAGGGAATTGCTTACCAGGAGCTTGGCAATTGATGGCCACTGTTGCTAGTGAACATCCCTTGATTTGGCCAAATTTTTTTTCTGCTGAAGAGCTAAATTCATACCAGTGGTTTTCAAAGAGTGGTTCCTGGACCACCAAGAAATGTGTTATGAATGTAGAAACTCTAGTGGTGGGGTCCCATTTGCTTTATTTCATGTGGTATTGATGACTGAACACAGGGCCTCTGCACTGAGCTACAACCTCAGCTCTTTAAAGATGTATTTTGGGAAAGAGTTTTAGAAAATTGCTCAAGCTAGCCTCAAACTTGTAGTCTTTCTGCCTCAGCTTCCCCAGAGTGCTGGGATCACAGAATAGAGCCACCACACCTGGCTATAACCTACATTCCATCCATCCATCCATCCATCCATCCATCCATCCATCCATCCACTCACCCACCCACCCACCCACCTACCTACCTGTGGTTCTGGGAATTGGATTCAGGAACTTGCACTTGCCAGGCAAGCACCATGCACTGAGCTATATCCCTGGCCCATAACTTACATTTTAAAAAGCCCTAGAGGTGACTGCAATGCACACACTCATGTCTGAGGCACACTGCTTTTAGGGTTTCTAGAAGTGAGGCTGGAAGAGCAGTCTAATGAAGCTCTATACTGCAACAAGATACTGTCTATGATTCTAGGAAAATACAAGGTCCTGAGTTTGTTCCCTGGTACTGCCAAAAAAGTAAAAATACAATTCATTCTCTTCATTAAAAAAAAAAAAAAAAACAGTGAATTAAGAAATCTGTTTATCCACACCTGCATTTTCCAAGTATATATAACCACAGACCCATTTGATTCTGTGACAGCTAGGAGACCTTGTGGGCACTAATAAATGTCGGTCTAGAAGGCGGGTACCAGTGACAGCTTCCAGTGGATCTTGGTAGCATCCAAGTTTCTAGCTCCTCATAAAATTCATTTGCACCAGAAGACCAACAAACCACCCAGAGTCCTGAATGTCCCACCATGGGGCAGTCAGATGTCCTTGAATCTTTCCTAATGGAGGAGTGGATTTTGAACAACAACAAAAAAAAAACAGTACCTTGACCAAAGCGTAAACTTGAGATGTCTAGCAGCTTACCTAAGTGACTCAGCAGGGGGCCAGGGTCCTCACTTTGTAAACATCTGAGTCTGTGTAAGAGGGAGACAATGTGAGTGCTACACCTACCAGGAGCCTGCTTACAATGTAAGAAAGGAGAAGAGGATTGCTCTCCTGCTTCTGCTGCATCTGCTATCTTCTGTAGCCTTGAAATGTTGTCCCTGTGCCATGCCACACTGCCTTGGACTTGGCTGATTAAGAGACTAAAACATCCACAAACTGTGAGTCAAATAAACCTTCCGTAATTTTGGGTGCTGGGTATTTTGTCTCAGCAGTGAGAGAACAGCAACACAGAATTTGGTGCCAGAGAAGCGGGGTCATTGCTGTGACTGTACCTAACAATGTGGTTCAAGAGCCTTTGGAAAGGGATTGTGTGAAGAGTTTGGAAAGGTTTGAAGATGTCTCCTGAAAGAGCACCACTGATATGTCTTAGATTGTACTGTATGGGAGACTGGTCAGAACTTGGAAGACCAGAAAAACCAGTGAAGACCAGGCCAGGAAGGTTTTTGCTGGGAAGAGGGACTGCATTGGCTGTTGGAACCCAGATAATGTGGTATGCCTGGACAGAAAGTTTGCCTGCATTTTGCTTACGTCTGGAGACTGCCCAGATTGAGATTAAGGGTGGCAGACTAATCTGGCAGAAGAAATTTCAAGGCAGTTGATTGGTAAGATAGTGGCCTGGCTATTGGTGGGGGATTTTAGCCAGATTTATGTTGCAAATGAAGAGCAAAGAGCCCAGTAAGATGATTTAAAATGTGAGTTTTGTCAGAAAGAAGCTCCAGGAAAGCCATGTACTGCAGAGATAGAGCAGAGGGATCGCCATTGCTGAGAAGGAACAGTTAAGTAAAAAAGATGGCCCAAGAACTTCACAGGAAGCAGCAAGTCTCTACTCTTTCTAGCCTCAAAAATGCAAAAGCGCAAGTCTGCTTTGAGGAGAAAGCCAAAGAGTACCATATTCCAGAATGGTGGCACTAGCCACATCGTGTTCCAGAATGGCAGTGGCACAGAGGTTTTGTTCCTGAGAAATGGATTCAGAGCACCCACTAATCCTGGCGCTTGACCATTACAGCCACGAAAGAGGAAAGTGTGGTGACTGCTCCAGCTAGCAGCAGACCACATGGTGCTAGTTTTAGGTGTATGCAGAATGCACAAATTGTGGAGTTAAAAAGGCCTCCACCCCGATTTCAAAGGCCAGGCAGTGTATCCCCCGAGGGCAGTGTATGAAGCTGTTGCAGCCAAAGGTACAGTGGAGGCCCCAGAAGTTTGGAAAAGCCAGGAACATGGATAGTCTGAGGAAACCTGTCAGGAGGGAGCAGAATGAGCCCAAGAGAGAAGTCTTGAGAACTACAACCACTGGAAGTGCCACAGGGGTGGAGCCACAAACCCTTGGAAGCTCACCATTTGGCTCAGATTGCTTGGGATGCTGTATAGGCAACTATAAGGCTTAATGTTTGCTCTGCTGGATTCTGGACTTGCTTTGGCCCTAATCCTTTATATTCCCTTGTTTGTAACTTCTGGAATGAAAATGTTTTATCTTGTGCCACTGACTGCTGGAAGTGCTTAACTAAGTTTTCATTTGCACAGTGGTTCACAGCCAAGAGCTTGCCTTACCTATCAGAGACTGGGGACTTGGACTTCTCAGCAATGCTGAAATTGTTAGGACATAGGCAACTCTTAGAAATGGACTAAATGCTTTTTACATAAAGCCATGTGCGTGAGTCTCTGGGCATCCAGGGAGGGCATGTTATAGTTCTAATGTACTGTAACATTGACAGAATACCCGTTCTTAAGGGTTGTTAAACCTGTGTTATAATGTACAAGCTCTGAAGTGAGAATACGCATGTCTCTGTATCTGGAAACCCTTTTATAGAAATGTGTCTGGTTGCCAAGTTGACAAGGGGTGGATTGTAATTGTTGATACACTGTCAATTTGAGAAGTTTAGAAGTACAAATGATTAACTCAACAGTCTACATCCTGGAATGCAGAGGACTTGCCCTTACATTCTAGGATGCTGTTCACTGTGTCAACTTGAGAAGTTTAGAAGCTTAACTGACTCAGTAGGGGATCAGGGCCCTCACTTTATAAGGGTCTGAGCCTGTACAAGAGGGCAGGGCAGCGGCTGAGTGCTACACCTACCAGAGGATGGTTAGCCTGCTTATGTCGTAAGGGAGGAAAAGAGGCTGGTGCTCCCCTTTTGCTCCTGCTGTCTTCTGAAGCCTTGAACTGTTGCCCTGTTACATGCCACCCTGCCTTGGAGTCGGAAGATGATGGACTGAAACCTCTACCAACTGTGAGCTAAATAAACCTTTCTTTCCCTAACATTTGGTGCTGGATATGTTGTCTCTGCAACGAGAAAAGTAACTAGGACAGCAAGTATTTTATATGAATGACTTAACAGATTAAGTGGCGGTTAAGTTCTGTACAGTCTTAGGCAGGTTTCTC